TTTCCTGCCTATACAGGGGGTCGGACTCGATGATCTATTGAGGTCCCTTCCGACCCTAGCATCTATGAATCTATGATCCTAGCCTACATGGATGACCTCAATGTCCTGTGCAGTGACAAGTGGTCAGTGGAGTGTTACAACACACCCAGGTATACAGAGCAGTGGCAGGGGCCAAGCTCAAGGTGAGGAAGAGTACCTGCCTGGTACTGGGTGAACTCGGGGACCTACTGGCCCTGGGGGTCTCTGTCCCCCACAAGGTGGTGAAAATCCCTGGGGTGGAGTTCAATCTGGAGCTGAATGGACCGAAGGTATGGGAAAAGACTGAGGCCAAAGTCAAGCAGAGACTAGGACTATGGAACACATATCACCTGTCAATAGGGGAGCATGTGGTGCTCATAAGGATGGTGTTGCTACCAGTACTTATGTACATCTGGTCTTCCCCCCCGCCCCCCAAGAGAAAGTTGTCTATAGAATCCAAATCGTCATGTGTCTTCTTCTGGGACTCCAGATGGAAGAATGTTGCAAGGACCATGCTGTACAAGACTAAATGGACCAGACCTGTGCTAAAACCTGCAGTAGTTTCAAGAAGAAAAAAAGGTAACATGCAGGGTCTGACAGTAAGGAAAGGGGGAAGAAGCTGCCAAGGGAAGAAGGTGGGGAGAAGCAGAGAGCAAAGGGGCTACCTGACCCCCAGTGGGAGAGGGGCAAATTCAAGGCAACCTCTAATAGTTCGAGTCTGTGTGACAGAATGCCACCTCTGTCTCTCCCCAAAAACTCTGCTATGTGACAATTTGGTTAACACGGTCACTGCAAAGGGCCGTGGGCTCCAGGTAACCCTGAGGTGTAACCTGAGCTGGATACATTCCAGAGGGAGGGGGAAAACCTGCTCCCTCTGCCTACGTGACTGGCATCACATACCTGGGTAGGAGGGCTTAAGCTCCCTATTGTTCTAAGCAATGCCAGCCTGACTGGGAGGGTGCTAGAGGCCCTGCCAGTCTACCCAGCAACCAGTGATGCATTTCAAATTGGTTGGCTGGCAGCCAGCAGTTGCTGGCCTTCACTGGATCAGGTAAATGAGGTCATAAGGGCTATATAAGTGAAGGACTGCCCAGGAGGAGGGGCAGTAGCCATGATGAAAAAAAAACTCTGAAACTTGCTCTCTCTCTTGAAACTCATGATCAATGAACTGCTTACCTCCAGAGGGAATTGCCACCTGCCTCAGGATGATACTTGTGAGTAAGCTACCTGAGATCTAACTAGATATATAGCTTTCAGTTACTCAGATGCATGGTCAAAGGCTACCCAGCCACCCTGTTTGCTCTATGGGATTTCTCTGATATTGCTCTACTCTGTACCCTATTCCAAACCTACCCCTTGTAACCAATAAAGTTCTCCTTTGTACCTAGCATGGAAGACTTACTGGGAGAGGGTCTAGATTATGCCTTGGGGTCCCCTTGGTTCGGCTGACTAAGGGAGAGCACTATTTGTGCTTCAGACCAAGGGAAACACCCCAAGTTCTTGCCGTGAGTCAAGGACTACTAGGCCTGTGTTTCCCAGGGGGCACAGAGCCAAGATCAGTCCAGACCCTGGGTGGTGGTGGTGTTACCCCCAGGCTAGCAGGTGTCCTCCAGGAAGGAGGTGGGCCAGACGTGAGGCGCCCCCAGGGAGGCACTCAGAGCCTGGAAGGTGGTCGGGCGCAGTGAGGTGGGTGGCTCAGCACAGGAGCACCCACTTCAGGCTCGCCAGTCTACACCTGTAAAACTATAACAAAATTGTAAATTTTCCCTAACTAGAATCTAATTATTGGGCAGTCATCTTATAATCAGGGCTGTCTTTGAATAAACTTTGACATGTCTTTGCACAAACAATAATTATTTGTGCTCCTATAGTTTCTTCATATTGTGAATGTTGTGCATAAACCAAAACACCACAATAAATTGTTATATTTTCTAGTAATATGATACACACAGAACCAGGAATTGATAATACCTGCAAGGCTCGGAAGTGTGTCAGTTAGGGGCTGATCAGGCTTAGACTATCTGGTAGGGGTGTGCAAAGTGGGTCCTATTCGATATGGATTCAGCCCGAATCAGGGACAGTGATTTGATTTGTTGATTCAGATCATTGATCCTGATTTGATTCTGCCGAATCCGAATCCAAAGATTCAATGCCAATTTGGAGAATCAGTGATTTGGACATAGACACAGCTTTAAAAGTTTTTCTACACACCTTGAGGTAGCAGGCGCAGCTTGTGAACACTGAGATGCTGGGGCACATGGAGCGTCCCACAGGAGTGCGGTGGGGGGGCCCTCCATGTGCTCAGCTGCGAACCTGGAAGTGGACCGAAAGTACTTCCAGGTCCACTGGGGAGCGCGCTGGACTCCCCTCCCTCCCCCGGCTTGGCGATTGGCCACAAGGGGACCCCAGGTGCCCCCCCCCCAGACCCAGGAGGCACCAATCGCCAAGCTGGGGGGGATGTGGGGAGGCCCCTTGCATGCTCCCCGGAGGACCCAGAAGTGGATCGGAAGTGCTTCTGGTCCACTTTCGGGTCTGCCACCGAGCATGCTGGGGAGCCCCCATGCCTCTGTGGGACACTCAATGCACCCCAGCGTCGCAGCATTCAGCAGCCCCTGCTACCTAGAGGTATGTAGAAAAAACATTTAAAGCTGTCTCTATGTCCGAATCTCCAAATCGATTTGGAGGGTTCCAATTTGATTCAGAGAGATTAAAGAGTCCTCTGATTTGATTCAGATTCATAGATTCAGCCACCGAATCGGGCCGAATCTCTGCTGAATTGAATCAGGGACTAAAGCTTTGCACAGCCCTACTATCTAGCCCAGAGTATACTGCTAATACTCTGAGTGTTCAGCAAACTGATAGAGAAAAGCATCTCACAAAGTCTGACAGCCACAGTAAGTCTACTCACCTTTGTTTGTAGGTTTAAAAAAAAAGGGGGCTATTGCAGAGATGCCACTGGCTCCTATTTCAGCTGCATGTCTGGCCTAGAAAGGAAAAACAAGAGGTATATGAATACACGGTAGATGCTTTTCACATATATAGAGGAGAGGAACCACATTGATTGTTACATTCCACAGCTATGAATGAAACCCTAAGAAAAACATAAGTTATGAACCAAGTCAGATCAGAGGTCAGCGTGAGTTGTGCCAGTTTACATTGGAGATAAATTTAACCTTTCATAAACAGAATGGACTATATCCATGTCTAAGCACACTCTACCTGATTAATAAATAGTAACCCAGGCTAATAGCTTTTATCTTCCCTGAAATAAGTTAGTGTCACTGGCTCCATTGTAAAGATAG